TAGACTTAACTTGCAAATATGATCCTTAATTAACCACTCATTTAACCTCTGAAGACAGGAACACCTAGAGGAAGATCTCCATTCTCTCACCCAAATTACTGTTTCCGAATGTCTCTTTCTGTATTTCTCTCTTTCTGTATTATTTCCCATATATCATTCCAGAAATTTCTACTGAAATCTATTTTTAAGATTTCAATTTCAGAACGATCTGTCATTGGGCTGCCCCAAACGATGAATGTGGGCAAGCTTTCTCCTCATGAGAAGGTTGGAGTTGCAATTTATTGTTGTTGTGTGCTTTCAAGTCATTTCTGATATATGGTGATCATTAGGTGAATATATCACAGGGTTTTCTTGGCAGGATTTATTCAGAGAAAGTCTACCATTACCTTCCTCTAAGGCTAAGAAAGTATGACTTGTCCAAGGTCACCTAGTGGGTTTCCATGGCTGAGCAGGGATTTGAACCCTGGTTTCCTGGATCCCTAGTCCAGCATTCAAGTGTCTTATTGTGTTATTTGGCACTGAAAAAACTTTTGCTTATAAAAAACATCACTCATTAAAACAAGCTTCTAACAGAGCATCCAGAATAGGTGTTTGCTATGCAATTACCCTGTCCTATTTACGGAGTTTACCAATGTCATTTCCCACTGGATAGCCCTCCTGTAATCTTTCCCACTGCTTCTTCCATGCTTTCTTCTCAACAGGGAAAAATGCATTAATAATGAAATAGCTGCAGTCTGTCTGGAACTGCTCTTAAGTTTCCACTATACCTCTGGCCTTTTCACAGCCCAATACAGCTGTTTTTTTTGATAATCTCCATGTAACATGTTAATATTTGTCCTCTCCTATTTTCACTCACTTGCCAAACTCTGTTTTCATTTTATGTTCTTAAGCCAAGCATCACAAACATTCTGATCCGATCTGTACTATCCACATATCCTTTTCTCAGATAAGCTATGTTCTCTTGGTCTTGACTACCTAATAATTTGCAGTGGAATGACAATATGCAGAACAAGAGTTAAAAGCAAACAAGCACACAGAATGCTGCCAGCCATAGGCCAATCTCCTTGCTCAAACATCAAGGAAATTGCTAATGTGGGGACTTTGATTCTAACCTTAAAGTGACAGAATGGGAAAAGACCCAAGCAGCCCTTGTAAAAACAACTCTGCTTAGGAAGACTTCAAGAAGATATCTCCACACCAGCAAAGACGAGGAGCCTACAACTCCTGGGGGAAACTAAGGGAGCAACGTATCAAACAGGACCAGTAACTCTAAGAACAGGTCAGTGTCCAGTGGGTGCCCTTGATGGAAGACACAACTTTATGTGATGCTGTCACACTGCAATGTCTATTTTAGTATATGAGTTCTTTAAGAGTCCTAGTCAAGTTTTTTTAGTTTGAAGGTTCACAACTTCAAACAATTAAGATGCAGATTTCATATTCAAAGATCCAAAGGAGATACATACAAATCTACACCCCTTCAGATGTTTACAGCAAGTAGGACCTTCTCTTGTGCTGTATAGTTTAACCAAATATCAAGCTTGTTATCTGTTGATGAAGTACCTTGAGGAATACAATTATCATCAGCAATTATCATCCAAGTATCTTTATAGGAGGATATTGTGTAAGCTAGGTAGTAATTTTCTATCTCGTGTGTAACTTGGAAATTTCTTTTCTTCAGCTTCCAATGTCGACAGATGAAAGCAGCTGGATTCCTGAACATGAAACTACAGCTGGTACTAAACTTCTACAAAAGGCACGGAAGAGCCCTTTGGTGCCAATTGGTGAGTTTGGGGAAATGCCATTCCCAACCATTCTTTTTGTGATCTTTTCCCACCACGGCATATCAGTTGCTCTTTGAAAAATATATGTGCAGGAAAGTATTATGGCAAAGCAGTTGTTCATTCCAAGTGTTCCTACTGCTGAAGACAGGAAGGAAACCAAATCTTGCCCAAATTCATAGGTTTGCATAGGATAAGGATCAAAGGGTGGATCAAAGGATTAAAAAACCCCTAAGAGCTAGAAATCTGTTGGATTGGAAATTTAGCTATACAAACACAAGAAAATGATTTATATTGAGTTAGACTATTGGTCTGTCTACTCTACTCAGGGATCTCAGGATGTGTTGGACTATAACTCTCGTCCACCCAAATCACAACACAACCAACAGGGAAGACAGGAGTTGTATTTTGAAAACTTGGGGATGCTCTGCATTGGGAAGTCTTCTACTACTGAAATGGAGCTGTTTGGGATGGAACATTAAGACCTGTGAACAAAATGAGTGCTCAGCCACTCCCCTAAGGATTTTGTTTTGAAAGAACACAGTTGTTCTTTGTGATTCCTAACTCCATCAGCAATTTAAATGTTAATTTCTGAAACTCAAAGAAAGTTCAGTTGAAGTAGTTTTGGTGCAGCTCTACCTTCACAAAAATCTGAGTAATATTGGAAGTAACAATCCATAAAAGATATGCAACAGTGTAATCTGAACTATAAAACACTATTCAAGCTTGCTTCTCATTCTGTGCGTGCAATCTTTGTCAATGTGGGCAGGATAAAAGTGATGGTAAAAATTAGGAAGGATTCCTGAAGTGTGAGGCCATCTGTGTAATGCATTTTTTTAAAGGTTAGTTATGCCATTTATTAATTTTAAATGGAAATAGTAGTGAGAAAAAAAATGCCTGTCTTGTCTGTTGTGGGTACAAAATGTGCCTTACCTTACATAATGGTGAGGTGGCCTAGATGACAATTTAGGGAACCCTTCAGAATAGGGTGGCTGTTGTGTCTGCAAACCTATGGCTCCATGCAGCCTTCAGAGTCATTTCCAAAATGTTCCTGCAAATAATTCACTTCTGGCAAGTGATCAGTCCCTCTGAGCAGTCTTGTGGGCAGAGAGGGAGAGTGGAGACGGTGTCAGAAAAATGACTGTGAGAGACGAGAGGAAAGAGGGTAAGCCCACCACACTGCAACATCAGCCCTGACTACAGCTGACACTTGGCCCCCCAACAGATTATTGCTGAAGGAAACAGCTCTTGTCAAAAAACAAAACAGTTTTTAATGCCTGCTGTGATTCTGTGGTTTCTCTGGCCCTTTAGGTATGATGGGGTTTGTTGTTGTGGCAGCCTATGGGCTTTACCGACTTAAGGGAAGAGGGAACATGAAGATGTCTGTCCACCTGATTCATACCCGAGTAGCAGCCCAGGCTTGTCTAGTTGGAGCTGTGACCCTTGGTAAGTAGGTGGGGACAAAGTCATGGGATGCTGTCCCAAGAGATGGGTTCGGGCACAGGTTGTACCTTTAAGACATACCTTAAAGCTGCCAATTCACTTATCTGTTGCTCTGCAAACAAGTTTTCACATAGATAACAGGTCACCTGGAATCATTACTCAAAAGGTAGATTTGTGGCCTTTAAGCCTTTCAAACTGACACATACATCATTTGGCAACTAGCTTTGATCTTACTGGAATAAAAGAGATATTATATATCTCTCCTTGGTCTCTGCAGCCTGAATGGAATACCCCACTGAGTACTACCGGTATAATCTAGGGATATAACCAATATTTACAAATTTACTCATCCTCGATGAGAAAGGGAGTCTAAGCATATTGAGATAATCCATCCAGAGGAAAATCTTATCAACCATTCCCAGGTTTTATACCCTGTAAGAGTAAAACTTTAACATCTTGCTCTATCCTCACTATGATGGTCAAGATGACCAAGTATCACACATCTACATTTGAAGAATGCATATCCAGAACTATGGAAACCAGTTTGTCCAACCAATTGTCACAGAGACTTTCTTTCCTTGTTTTGTAATTAATTATGAGCCATGACAAAACAGGAGGTGGGAATGTTTTGCGGGAAGCAACTCATGAAAAAGAGGACAAAACTTGATTCTTCTTGCCTACTGTATAAAAGAGTTGTAGTTTTTCTCCAAAATCAGAGTGAGCTGGTGGGCCAGCAACCAGATGTCAATTTTGTCTGACAATTTTGGAACCAGCCCCAAGGCTATGTGAAGACTATGCTGAGAAGAAG